TCAGCTGTGAATCAAGAACAAAAGGCTTATAAGGACCACCAATTATCCTGTATGAAAAAATAAGAGTGTGGGAAGGCATTTAGATGCAGCCATTTTTACTTAAAAAGTCCTTGCCTGCCCACTCATGGCAGGCACTCAGTACCAACCCCAGTGTTCCTTCCCAGCTGATTAAATCAACTGTGGAAGAAAAAAAAATCCTCTCTTAAACATGGATTTTCCCGTGATGCGTCATTGAGCACATTTCCCTCATCCATCCATGGCACAGTAGACAACTGCTTCACATTTTGTGCATAATGGTTTATCCAACTTATACTGTCAAGGAAAATATCCACCAGCATGCACATCAGATAGTAACTTGACGTCTACACCAGTGGTTCTCAAAGTGCTGGACTCAACCACCTGCAGTAGCGGCATTTGGGAATCAGAAACATAAACTTTTGTGTTCCACCCCAGATCTACTGAATCAGAAACTCCTTGTTAGATTAGTCAGTTAAGCATCCAACTTCGGCTCAGGTCATGATCTCATGGTTCCCAAGTTCAAGCCCAGCATTGGTCTATCAGTGCAGAGCCCACTTGAGATCCTCTGTTCCCTCCTCTCTGTCCCTCCCCAACTCATGTGTTTGCATGTGTACACATGCTCCTCTCTCTCTCTCTCTTCCTCTCTCAAAAATAAATAAACATTAAAAAATAAAATAAAGAAACTCCTTGGGACCCATACTACACTAAGGCTTGAAATCTAAAAGTATCACCTCAAAGAGGAATGTTACCAATACTGGATTCTGCTTTCTCTTCTAACACATTTGATTTCCTAGCTATTTTTTAAAGTGTTTCAGCAACTATGTAGACTGTAATTGTTTTGACTGGCAGCAGTACAAGTTTGAACAAATCTGTTTTGCTCTTTTCTCTGACTTCATTGACAATATTATTCAATGTAACATACTAGAAGTATTATTTTGCATTTGTTCTAGACAAACCTAAATGTTCCCGGGAATTACAGGTAAATGGATTCTTAGTCTACTAAAAATAAAATTTCTGATATTCTACATCATGCATTCAATTCACCCTTTCCATTTTTGGCTGCCACATGAAATTTTTTTTTTTTTTTTTACAAATAGTTTATTGTCAAATTAGTTTCCACATAACACTCAGTGCTCATCCCCACAAGTGTCCTCCTCCATGCCCATTCCCCTCTACCCCCCACATCCATCCCCTCAGTTTGTTCTCAGCATTCAAGAGTCTCTCATGGTTTGCCTCTCTCCCTTTCCCCCACCATTTCCCTCCTTCTTCTCCCCCTTGTTCCTCCGTCAAGTTCCTCCTAATCCTACTATTGTGCTGCCTTTTTTCCCTGGTTCTTGAAAATCAATCCTTCATTCACAAATGGTTCTTTTAAATATACATGCTTTTGGAGAAAGACTTTGTTTCAGAAAAGCTTTGCAGACCTAATAAAGAACGTGTTACAGTACAAATATGGAACATAAATCTGTGTCTGCAAGGACAATAGATCTGTGAATAAGAATTTCATGTGGCAAACTGCCAGCCTCCACCTCAGAATCACTACTCCAGATCAATGTGGCAGAAGCTCAGAGGTGAGGCCCAGATTTGAGTATTTGTTAAAACCTCCAGAGGTACTTTTAACATGAAATGAAGTGTAGAGCCTTTAAAAGAATTCACATTTTCTGAAACAAAGTCTTTCTCCAAAAGCATGTATATTTAAAAGAACCATTTATGAATGAAGGATTGATTTTCAAGAACCAGGGAGAAAAGGCAGCACAATAGTAACAAAAAATGCAAATTTATCAAACATTCAAATGATATGAAGATGTGCCATAAACTGTACTCTATTTTACGACTATTAGCAGAGAAAAACTGACCAACATAGCCCTTTAGTACATGTACAACCAATGAAAATGCTAATGATTAAAAACGAAAACATTCTGTGAAAACAATCATTAAACTTAGACATCAAATTTATGAAATGCATGTGCACTAAATTGTTTCATTATAGCTTCTCCTGAAATTGCCAAACAGCCTACAGAACTATATTTTATGCTTCCTAATTCCTAAAGAAAGTTTGTCTCCATCCCTTTCCATTCTTCTCCAATAGATTCCATCATTTTATCTGCTAATCCCTTCTCTCCATTTTAATTCAGAAACTTTAGATTGAGCCCCTCTTATGAATTTCCCCAGAGCTTGTGAGCTGGGCACAGACGAAAGACAATTCCTGTCTCCCTAGATTCCCCCTACAGACAGAAGGCAATGTTGGGCTCTTTGATACCAGGCAAGATGTGGAATCCTGAGAACCAGAACAGAGGAAACAAACAAAAGGCTGAAGAAGCCCAGAGGGGGAAGAAGTCAATCCTGGCTCCCTTCCAAGTACTTGAGAACATACTTGTTGGATCTAGCTAGCTCTCCTAGATGCCCTATCTCATTTGGCCTCATTCACATACTTCTCAAAATCATGGTCTAGGTCCACGGTTTCCATTGCTTCATCGCTCACTTCCTCCTCACCCACTTGCAACATAGCTCCCAGGTCCCAGTTTCGACACTTCAGTATTCTCGTGGTATCTGGCCTGCCCTCTTTCCTTTCCTTTCCTTTGCACTACATTACACGAGTGCCTCTCAAGAATAGATGAGTGTATTTAGAATTGCCTGTGGGGCTTTGCCAGCCTCCACCTCAGAATCACTACTCCAGATCAATGTGGCAGAAGCTCAGAGGTGAGGCCCAGATTTGAGTATTTGTTAAAACCTCCAGAGGTACTTTTAACATGAAATGATGTGTAGAGCCTTTAAAAGACATCAATACCCAGGCCCCCGCCTGTGGTGGTTTTTTAACAGGTCAACTTGGTAGGCTGAACATTTCCCAGAATTTCCTTTCTGGTTAGGGTAGATCACAGGAGGGATTTGGGGGAGATTAGGGGGCGGAAGTGAAGCAGCAGCTACTCTATAGCTCTCATACATTCTTGCTCACCTGCTGGCTCATCTCATTGGCATAAACCAGCAAACACACCTGTACCTGCTCCACCTTCCCTAAGATCCTCTCAGTTTCTCCAGCTCCTGGGCCAGGTGGGTGTGCCTGGTCCTGTGACAAAGGTCCCTGGCTTCTCTAGGCGACCCACACCATTCAGGTCAGAGGCAACAAATATTGACATGGTTTCAGTCTCTCATTATGGGTCCCAGCTGGTGTTTGCTGGTGTTCTCTCTCCTCATCTTAGACCCACCTTCCCTTCCTGACTGCCTGTCCTGTGGACTTCACGCTTCAGCATCAGAAGCAACACTTTACAGAAACTGCTTAACCAGCTCCCACAGATCCCTGTAACAAAGCTTTTTAGATATAATTTTCTTCGATTGAATCTTGCCTAATAAACCACTCCAGACCAATTATGTCGGAAGCTCAGAGAGGAGGCCCAGACATAACCATTTGTTAAAAGCTCCTCAGAATTTTTTTTTAGAACATTTATTTATTTTGAGAGAGAAAGAGCATGCACACTGAAGGAGGAGGGGAAGGGCAGAGAAAGAGAATCTCAATCAGCCTTTGCACCAGCAGTGCAGAGCCCAATGGAGGGACTGAACTCACAAACCTGTGAGATCATGACCTGAGCCAAAACCAAGACTTGGACACTTAACTGAGCCAACCCAGGTGCCTGGCTCCTCAGTTGCTTCGAACACAGTTAAGCACCATCTATCCTACAGTGAAAACTTCTACATTCTATTTCAAATCTGTGCCAGGGTAAGCCAGTATAGTTGATGAGAATATACACACTCCACAGCCTCACCCTGCCTTGTCCCACCCCTAGAATTGAGAAAGATTTCAAATCTTGCTCTGCCCCACCCTATCTGTTTTCTCTGATTTACTCCTTTTACTCTTTTCCACAAATATAGTCCTTTCGTGTCTAACAGATCACCACAATCTCCCTGTCTTTCCTCCCTCCATTTCACCCCACCCATCCCTCACCCCAGACTGATGTAGACAAGTACTTATCACATCCCTCCATGTTCAAAGGCTTTCAGCAACTTCCTGTCCCCCAGGAGATCAAGTCTACTCTCCTTATCTGGTATTCAAAATTGTCCAGACTCTGGCTTCTTCCCACTTGGCCAACCTATCCTTCTACTCCCTTCCCAAGGTGAACCCTATCCTCCAGTGTTTTCTCGTCCTACATCAGCCCAAGGATGAACAAAGCAGTTGTCACAAGATAAAAAGAGTAAGGGCCTCCTATGGCCTCCTTGGATTCTGCTTAACAACCAGGGCCAGTAGTTGGGTAACATCCCCTGCACACCACACCACCCCTCTCTCCACTTCCCTGCTTCCTTCTCAACTCCACTTGTTGCCTCCCACTTACATTAAGCATAACTAATGCATACATGTTAGAGGTAGAAAGGAAGTAAAGCACAAATTGCTTTGTAGAGGTGCTCTGACATTTTTAATAAGCAGGGGCTATCCCTTTCTTTCACGCCCAATTAATGCTGCTGCTACTGTACTGTGATCCTATTCAGGAGCTCAAGGAAAAGACAGTATTTAGATGATTCTCTGCCACAAAACCACAACCTAAACCAAGGCCCTCACACTCCTCTCTGAGCATAGAAATTTCAAACCAATAGGCCTTCTTGTATGCTGGGGCTGTCTATAGCAGTTCATGAACTGGCTTTGAAATTTTTTTGCTGAATAGAGAGAATTTTCTCATCCCATGCATCTCCTATTTGCATCTTGGGAAAGCAGCCTTCTAGAATTAGGCCATTTGCACTCAAATGTGTCTTTCTTCAAACACCATGAGATTGAGAAAATGGTACTGAAACAGTAAATTAAAGCCCTCCCCCGGTGTTTTTCCTAGGGCCCTAGGGTCCTTACTATCACATAATATTAATATGCAAAGTAGGTATTTATACCTCCCCAGGCTTACATCTGAGTGTGTTAATTTATTGCTTTTATATTTTCTATTACCCATTCATGTGCTAATGTTTGAATTGGAAATGTGTTCTCTAGATTTCTTCACAAAAATACTCACCCGTATTTCTCTGCAAGTCCTCTTGCTTCCTCCTCTTTTACTACTCTCTGGTCTTCCAGATCACTCTTATTTCCACATAACACTATATCTGGGTTTTCACAATATGCATGCATTTGTAGCTGGCCTATAAGAAAAATGATTATAGGTAAATAATATAAGTGTATGGTCAACGGAAAATGTATTCAAAAGTGCTTCGAAACTGTAAACGGATAGAGAGACATAAGGAATGATATAATGCTTTCAAAAGCATCAATAATCTAACTGACAAAACTGAATGGATGGGACAGAGATGTAAAACTTATCCTTAAGCTCATACCCCGCCTTACTTACATATCAGAGAGGAGTGGGATAATTTGCTAACCCTCCAAAAGAACATATGTGCACGTGGTGGCCACGGGCACACATGTGGCTATATTTCTATTGAAGGCCATTTGAAAAATAATTGGAAAACTTTTAGTACTTATTGCTAATCTGAAAGCTCGGTTTTTCATGTGGTTTCTTTCCATGCAACAACATTTTCAGAAGAATGGTCTTTATACAAAAACTAGCTTGTTTCTCTCTGGAATGTTTTTCACATTTTTCTATTATCCTAAGGCAGAATCAATTCAATTAAAATAAACAAGATATAAGATTAAGGGAGGGAAAATTTGGAATAAATAGTTAATGATCCTGTCACCAGAACCAGGAGGAAGCAGGAGAGCATAACTCTTTTTCCATAGCTTTTATTTCTTTTCACCTGAAAACCTGTAAATAGGCATAATTTTAAAAGGCAATTAAAAAAACAAAATTTAATCTCCCAAAGCAGTAAAATAAAGTCTTATTTCTTATTCATCACACCCTATAATACAATTAAAGCAGCCCAAACTTTCACATTAAGACATACCTCAAAGTTGGTATGGCCTAATTTATTTTTTATCATGGTTAACCAGAGAAGTGTTGACATTTTAGTTCCTCATTACAAAGTCATGTTCATTATATCTTATCAAGAGAAAATCTAGTCTGCAAGCATTCACTGATCATTAACATATGCCAGATACTTGGTGCGGAATTTCAGGGCCCTGATCTTTGCCCTCAAGGAACAACCAGGCAACAAGGCCTATACTGGCAAAACCAAACTGTGTATGTTTCCAATAACTTCCATGCCCTTTCTTTCCTCCAGGCTGGTACACATTCTGTCCCCATGTGCTTGAATACCCAGCCACAACCTTCCTTCCAGGAATCCTGACCGTTCTTTTAAGACTTTCCTCTCAGTTACCTCTACTATGAAACCCTTCTGGTCTCCAGAGAAGCTCTGTGTTCTATTAACCCCATATATGTCCAGTGTCATGATTATGAGCATGAACTCAGAACAGACCGTGTCTAAGGCTGATTCCTGGCTCTGCCATTTACTAGCTGTGTGACCTTGACCAAGTTGTTTCCCCATCTGTAAATGGTAACAATGATGGTACTTACTTCATAGGGTTAAGGTGTGGATTAAACGAGTTAATTCAGTGATTCTCTAAGTGAGGCCCATGGACTAGCAGTCTTACCACTACTAGGAACTTGCTATAAATGCAAATTCTCTGGTCACACCTGAGACCTACTGAATCAGGAATTCTGGATCTGGGGCCCAGAATCCATGTTTTAATAAGCCCTCTGGGTGATCCAGATGCATATTTGAGAACCACTAGGTTAATCTGTTAAAGCAAGTAGAAGTGCTATGTGAGTATTACCAGTAATGATGTTTAACACTGTTTATTTTGGAGACTCTGTTAAGTATGATTATTGGTGATTTTTCTTTTTATTTCTTCCTTCCCATTTTTTCTACAAAGACTGACTTATTTATATAAAAAGTAAAGTTACCAAATCTTTTAAAAATCTCACTAGAGAAAAAGGCATATACGTAAAAACCTACAACTTGAGGTAGTTTATGCTAAAAATTCTCAAAGTAGTACAAGATATAATAGCCATTAGGAAGGGAAAGTTTAATCCAGCTACAGTTATCACAGAAATTTTCATGGAGGCCATAACTTTCCAGGTTTTAAAGAATAAGTAGAACTCCAACCAATTTGAAAAAGGGAGGTGGGGGGAGTAGGTAAAAGGGGATTTTCAGACAGGTGGAATAATAGGAATAAAAATATTGAGTCAAAAATAGGTACAATATAGATCTGTTGGGCTCTTATACCATTTATGTGAGGCTACAAAAGAAAGGTTTAGTAAATAAATTTAGGCAACTTTAAACTTTCTTTACAAAATAGGCTGTCACTAGATGAGGAATGACTATGGGCATGACTTGTCCATCCTCTGAGGTCCAGGAAGACAGATGAATGAATATAACACTGCCTGATTCCTTTCAGATTTCAGATTTAGGCTCAGAGGACTCAGCTCTCTGTTCAGCCTCCTGAATGCAGCAGGGTTCACCTTTGTATGTATCCCCTTCCCAATAGGGCATGGGGAGATTAGGAGTCAAGAGAAAAGGAATGGCCAGTGCAGGTATGGAGAAGCAAATGGAGGGTGCAGACCTGCTCTCCTCTCCCCAGGCCAATCAAAGCCCAGGAATCAGCTGTTTAATGTAACAGTACCTCTGTTCTGATATGCATCCCCCGCAAAAAAGAAGAAATGAATGATACGTATAATATTCAAAATGCTAACAGGCAGAGAAAAAATAAAATGTATAGATAATAAATTTTAATTCCTAATTAAGATTTGATATTATTACCTCTGACCCTGAACATTATAACTGTTGTGTTGTTGTTGTTGTTGTTTTAAGCTGGGTTGGGGGGAGAATACTTTCCATTGAAGATATGAAATCCTCAAAATGTATATGTTTTCTTTAACTGTGTATAAGAATTCTTTTACACTATAAGGAAAACAAAGTAACATGTATACGTCACACATAATTTCACATAACTTTGTTGTTTATCTAATTAGGCCAGATAGACAAAATTTATCTGTCTCAGAGTTTCCATTTGTATCTGTGATGGGTTGGTTGATCTCTCAAGGTGGCATGATCATCTCTCAATGCAAAGATTCTATGAGCACATCTCTAATAAAAATCTTATTAAGTGTTTGACTTAAGAAAGCCCCAGAATTTTGTTTTTAACATTTATTTTTGAGAGAGAGAGAGGGAGACAGAGCATGAGTGAGGGAGGGGCAGAGAGAGAGGGAGACACAAAATCTGAAGCAAGGTCCAGACTCTGGACTGTCAGCACAGAGCCTGAAGAGAGCTCAAACCCATCAACTGTGAGATCATGACCTGAGCTGAAGTCAGATGCTCAACCAACTAAGCCACCCAGGCACCCCCAGAATTTATTCTAATGTTGCCAAGAAGAGGAGATGAGCAAGGTCTGAAGATAAAGGACTAAAAATAGCTACCATCATTCAGCTGTAAGAGAAATAATGAGGTATGCAACACAGGCATTAACAAAGTCAAGTCCAGTTAGCATAACTAAAGTTGGCAAACCTATACTTAAAAATATTAAACAGCTCTTCAACTGGTCATGATAAATTTAGTTGAGCAAGTGCATGAAAGACTACTGAACTTGTAGCACCTGGGTAGCTCAGTTGGTTAAGTGTTTGACTTTGGCTCAGGTCATGATCTCTTGCGGTTCATGGGTTCAAGCCCTGCATCAGGTTCTGTGCTGACAGCTCAGAGCTTGGAGCCTGCTTCAGCTTCTGTGTCTCCCTCTCTCTGCCCCTCCCCTGTTCTCTCTCTCTCTCTCAAAAATAAACATTGAAAACAAAAGCCTACTGAACTGAAAGCCAAAATTACATGTCCTCAGTGAAGTCAACTACTCTTTAAGGCCCAGAGTCCTCATCCTAAAATAAAGACACACCACCTGCCTGAATCTTCTCCCACAGAGCTTGTAAGGATCAGATACAAAGTATAGGGAAATGCTTTCAAATTCACAATGCACTGCATAAATTACTTATTTAAAAACCTGTTTTTAAAAATAAGGTTTTCTACTATCAAAATCACAGCCAATGATCCTTTTATAATACCAAAACACCAAGTTATTTTTAAATAGTAGGTATTCTTAAGTAAGCATTTTTATTTTAAAGATTTGGATGTCAAGAATTTAACACAACAGCCTTCCTCAACAGATTTCTCTAGTCTAGGTTTACACTAATACAACCAACAGATTAAAATGTACATTTGCAAACTGTTATTTGATCAAGTAGCAGGATTTTAGGTGGCTACTAACCAATCATTTAAGATTTTAGGATCTCTGCAAAGAGCCAAGATGAAGGTTTGAAGGAGAGAGAGAGAGAGAGAGAGAGAGAGAGTGTGTGTGTGTGTGTGTGTGTGTGTGTAGTGCTAGTGACCAATTTTGCCAATGTTTAATTCTAGAGTCTTCCATGATGGGATCCTCCTGCCAAATGATCTGTCCCTAAAAGCAGAAAAGGGACCTCTGAGTACAGAAGAGACATGGAGCCAGGGGTATGATCTTCAAAGCCTTCAGAAAACATTTATGTCTATGTAATATATGTGTTAAGCCCTCGGATGATACAAATCCTCATAGCCTATGATAGGCAAGCAGACACTTAGAGATTTAACTTCTCTGGGCTTCTGTTTCCTTATCTATAAAATGGGGATAAAAGCACCCTCTGGAAAAGTCAAAATGATTACATGGAAAGTACTGCCATGTGCCTATAGGATAAGAAGTACTCAGCAAAGAGATGCCTGGGTAGTTCAGTCAGTTAAGCCTCTGACTCTTAATTTCAGCTAGGTCATAATCTCACAGTTTGTGGATTTAAACACCCCCCGACCCCGGCCCCTCAGACTCCATGTTGACATCACAGAAGCTGCTTGGGATTCTCTCTCTCTCTCTCTCTCTCTCTCTCTCTTTCTCTCGGCCTCTCCCCTGCTCGCTCAGGCTCTCAAAATAAACATTTAAAAAGAACACTTAGTAGGGCTGGTGTGTGCAGGAGGCGTGTGTCTGGGGGTGTGGGATGTTCCTGCCATCCCAAGAACTGAGTCCGTGACTGCAGCAGCCACCAGCTCTGTTCCATCTCTTTCCCAAGGCTGCCAGGTGCAAACTCCGGATGGGGGACCTCTGGCTACAGCCCAGGGGTCACTGGCTCAGTGGCTGTGTGCCTGGGATTTGGGCAGGCAGAGGCAAGCAGGATCCTGTCCTGAGCCCCCTGCCTGCGGGGGTTTTGATCTGCCACCCCTCCCCGTGCTGGAGATCCCCTCCCTGCCCACCATCCCCATCCCCAGGGCTCAGAGGATACCCAGCCTCCTGACCTGACCACAGCCCTTGCCATGCACCCTTGCCAGGGAGCCCCTTCCTGCCTCCCTTGAGGTGAGTGACTTCCTGTTTGCCAGCAGAGGAAGCGGCTCTGCACAGGTAGGGAGGTAGCTATCGGCTTACAAGCTGAGCCCAGAAGAGGGAAGGGGGCCCAAGACAGGGGCTCTGGGGATTCCAGCACACAGTCTGCCCTTCTGAGAGGCTGTGAGAGGAGGGGGCAGCAGGGAAGGGAACTGGCACCTGACTTATAACCGCCCCTCACCAAGGGCCCTCATGTGCTGACATTCACCAGCAGCATCTCCAATCCCCACAAGGCCAGGGTGTGAATGAGGTGTTATTATCCCCATGCTGCAGAACAGATGAGGACACTGAGGGTCTGAGTGGTCACTCTGTCTGGATTTGAGCCCAGCACTATGAAACCCAAGCAAATCCGCTTTTCTGCTACACCCCATTGCCATCTGCATACTGTTGATGTCAAGGGGCTGGCCTTCTCTCCAGCGAGCAGCGCTACTGAATTCTCTCTACCAATTCAAAGCTTTTAGAAACTCCTGAGCTGCTGTGGCTCACTAAGGGGGGATTGGGAGGGTGCCAGCTACTGGGCAGGGTGAGAGAAGAAGCCAGAAGCACCTCAGTGGGCTCCTGCGTGCCTCAATTACAAACTTCTGTCCTTTAGGGAGGCCTGGGAGTCAGGCAGTCACAGGTTCCTTCCTCCAGTAAAAGCCCTATTCCCTCTCAGCATTCCAGCCTCCACAAACTTGGGGCCTCAGTGAGGACAGACAGGACACCTGCCTCCCTCAACATTCCTCTGCCAGGTTAGGTGGTTATAGTTGCACTGACCCACATGACTGTGGGTCCCCTGAGGATCTGAGAGCTGGGGAGTAGAGTGGGGTGAAGGCTTCCCTACCTAAGGCCTATAGTCCTCGAATACAAGGGAGAAGTCTCTCAGGGGCAGGGCGATGAGAAAAGGAAGTCTAGTCCAGCGGTAACACTACCACCAACCTCCCAACCCAGATGTGGGCACCAGGGCTGCCCCTCTTCTTCCTTGGGACTAAAGTCTGGCCCCAAACTGTCTTCCAAGGTTCCCCTCCTTGGCTCCCTCCCAACTCTGTGCTTGTAGGCTGGCACCTTCCTTGCAGTCACTTGCCCTGGGTCCGTCCTTCTTAGGGAAGCAGTGAGTAGGATTCTGGCTAGTCCCCTCCATCTCCAAGCCCCGTTGACACCCAGCAGACACTCCGAAACATCTGCTCTGGTCCAGGGACAGGCAGTTCTAATGGCAAAAACGCTCCCAAACTCAACACCCATGACTAGGAATTGGATAATTGATTATGGTAGAGCTCAGAACTGTAGGGTGAATCTCAGCCACTTTTAACATCTTATTTTTAGAGAGTATTTAATGTAGTGGAAAGATGCTCATGGCATATCATTAAGAAAACCAATTATATATTCATGATGACCCCAGTCGTTAAGAACTTGTGTATTTAGGCCACAGAATGCCCAAACATCGGTGGTCAGCGGCTCTCTGTGTGTGGTGAAAGTACACAGGGTTTTAATTCTTACGCTCTTTCTGGTACGTATCTAATTCGAAAAAAGAAATACGTATTGTGTTTACCATCAGCAAAAGTAACAAAGGTACTAGACAATTAAATATATTGAATTAAAAAATGGTTTGATATTTCCGCACCCTTTAAAGACTGGGAAGTTCTTTGCCAACCTCATCCCTCCTTTCCCAGAGGCAGGAACTAGTGTACAATGGGGAGGCCCACAATGGTATCCACTGTAAAGACCCCACACTGTCCTCACACCTCAAGTGGCTGCCAGGGTGACGTCCCTGCTGCTGGTGTGGGGACGTACTTGGAATGCAGAGTTGCTACAAAGACTGTTTTAAGGTGAAGACGTGTGAGGTTTGACAGGTGAAAAAAGAAGTCCTCTCAGAGCCCCCCGTTACCTGACTAGAAGCAGCAACTTCTAGAAAATAAGGGTGCCATAAATTCCTTCTGCAGGGTGGAGCTACTCCCAGAAGAGGGAAAATAAAACCATTCCCAAATCCCTTCTATAGGAAAGATTATGGCCCGAAGGAGACTGAAAGACCGCCCATTAGAGGCAGACATTTATCACAAACTCTCTCATCTCTCATTTGTTCTAAAGAGCTATTTGCCTTTCCTCCAGAAACCTATTTGTTCTTCCCATAGAAGCCTTTTTCTCCCTGCCTCCATCTCCCTACTAAGTTAGGTATGTAAGCTTTTAACCATTTAACACGCCAGCTACTTCTCTGGTTGGCTTTCATGGGCGGGTCAATAAATCTCTTTATACTGTTTTGTTTTAGAAAGTAATAAATAAATAGATAGATAGATAGATAGATAGATAGAATACTTATTTTTTAAAAAAGTACTGAGCGAATCAAAGTCAGTATTACTAGGAAAAGCACAGTATGTTAGTTATCTTTGCTCCTAAAGTAAAACTTTGTTCCTTTAAACAGCATTTTAAATAGCACTAAGAGCTTCTCCAAACAACTTGCAACAGAAGTAGAATATAATAGGCACTTTACTGTGGGCAGCGGGCAATGGGAGACAAGGAAACAGTAAGACTTACTTATCCAGTTTCTGACGTTGAGGAAACTCTGCTCATTTGTCAGATCGAAAAGCAGAAGAAACCCCATAGCATCTCTGAAGAATGCTGTTGTCAAGCTACGAAACCTAGGAACATAAAAGCAGATTGGTCACCTAAATCATGACCCCACTCCTGAAATATAAAACTAGCAGCAGTTCCCTCAGCTTCTTCCAATAATCCATCAATAACAAATTTGGTGTTTAATAATGTGCCATTATTTCTAATAACTTCACATTATACATTCATATGATACCTTTTAATTACACAAGATTTAACAAATTATGCTATATTATTTTAACAGTATAAAATATATGTATAACCAATGATATTGGGTATCTTATAAAATATAGTAAAGAAATATCTAGAGCTAGAAAGAATATTTGGAAACATATCGATACTTTATAAAATGACAATTACCTAAAATTATACTTAAAATTTACTTTTTTTTTTAACATTTACTTTTGAGAGAGAGAGAGACACACACAGAATGTGAGTGGGGGAGGGTCAGAGAAAGAGGGAGATACAGAATCCGAAGCAGGCTCTAGGCTCTAAGCCGTTAGCAAAGAGCCCGACATGGGGCTCGAACTCACAAACTATAAGATCATGACCTGAGCCGAAGTTAGACGCTTAACTGACTGAGCCCCCCAGGTGTCGCAGGAATTTACTTTTAAAATAAAAACAACCTTGGAGCTCATATGTGGCTCAGCCGGTTCAGCGACCAACTTCAGCTCAGTTCATGATCTCAGAGTTCATGAGTTCAAACCCTGCATCAGGCTCTGGGCTGCCAGCTCAGAGCCTGGAGCCTGCCATGGATTCTGTGTGTCTCTATCTCTCCCTCTCTCTATGCCTCCCCTCACAATATTACAGAGAACTGATGGTTACCTGAGGGGAGGTGGGGGAAGAGATGGGTGAAATGGATTAAGGAATTAAGAGTACATTTCTCATGATGAGCACTGAGCATTTATGGAACTCAGTAGAGTGTATAGCTGAATCACTATATTGTATTCCTGAAACTAATATAAGACTGTATATTAATTATACTGGAATTAAATGAATAAAAATCAATAAAATAATAATAATCTGTGTAAATTTTTAAGAATTAAAAAAAAATGAGGAGCATCTGGGTGGCTCAGTTGGTTAAGCAGCCGACTTTGACTCGGGTCATGATCTCATGGTTCATGAGTTCAAGTCCCACATCAGGCTGTGTGCTGACAGCTCAGAGCCTTGAGCCTGCTTTGGATTCTGTGTCTCCCTCTCTCTCTGCTCCACCTCTGCTTGTACTCTGTCTCTCAAAAATGAATAAATATTAAAATTTTTTTTAATTTAAAAAACTGATATTCCAAAAGGGTATATGACAGTTATTTACCACTTAAGTTTATGTGTTAATAGACATGTGATTTGAAAAACCAGCCTGCTGGATAAGGACCACAAGAACTAGCTCATGATACCTTAGTCTCAGCCAAGAATGTACAGTACAATTATGAGTTAGTTAGGCCAAAAGCCATGGTGCTTGCTGTGTGGGTTTTCCTTGTCCTGAGGAAGTTTGGCTTGACCTGACATTGCAGTGAGTTCCATAAACTTTTGATTTCAGTCTCTACAGGAGTCTCATAACACTGACAACCATTTCTTTGGCTTTAAGATAGAAGTACTATTGACTCAGTCCCTAGCCTTTCTTGGTACACTCTCTTCCAAGGCTTTATCCAGCTGTATCCCTTCTGTCTCCCTCTGAATCTATTTCCACTTGACTTTCCCACAAAGCTTGCAACTGACAGGCATAGGCTCCAGGGAAGAAAATACTGGTATGAATTTGTCATCTAACCTGTTATTTTAAGTTTTCTTAAATATTTCTAATTTTTAATAATAATTAAAATCTAATAATTTCTAATCAATATTTTTACAAAAAAAAGTCCTTATTTTTTAGAAATATATACCGAAGTAGTTATAAATGGGAAAATCTGGTATTTGGAATTTGCTTCAAAATAATTTAAGGGTGGGGATAAGAAGAGGTAGAGATAAACATGAAATGAGATAGGCCACAATTTGATGACTGTTGAAGCTGGGAAATGTGTTCATGGTGTTATTGTATTATATTCTCTAGTATGTTAATATATAGTATATCAAGTATATAATATAGTATATATAATATATAATACAGTATATTAGTATACATAGTAAATCTAGTATTTTAAGATTTCCATAATAAAATTTTAAAAAACAGAAGAATACTTCAAGGAAACTGAGAGAAAACAGCAGCTAGCCATAGCTAACCTAAAGAAATTTTATATCAAAATTTCATGTGCCTTATCTTGATCAAGCAACCTCTGACCATATGAATTACTTCCAATCAGATTGTCTATGAGGTTTCAACAATCAAGAATAATGCATGCAATTCTACAATTGTCTTTGTGGCTAAGTAAACAGCAAAAATAAATGGAGCAAAGTGTCTAAGCAAATGAGAAAGAAGGATGAGAAGAAAGAGAAGCAGGAGGAAGGAGGAGGAAGGAGGGAGGAGGGAGGAGAAAGCAGGAAAAGAAAGAGGGAGAAAGAAGGAAAATGAAGAATAAAGTCCACAGGTAAGATGGCATATTTTGAAAAAGATTAATTTTTCCTCTGACCTCTTATAAGGTATACATCATTACATTTCAGATTAATACATTTCCTGCTAATTTGGAAGTGTGTCTTATCTAGGTGCAAATCAACCAAACATCTTGCCTCTTCCTGCTCAGGCACTGTATGAAGAGCACAGCAGTTTAGTAAGGAACACATAACTGAAGATCTCATACCTCTCCTGCCCTGCTGTGTCCCATAATTGCAGGTGGATTCTCTGACCTCTGCCAGTGGCTCCATCTGGCCCATTGGCTCTATACACCTAAAACAGCAAAATGAAAAAGAAAACTTTTGAGAACACTACTCTTCTTACTTTTCAGTAAAACTCCCATAAGCATCTAGACTTTTTTTTTAAGAATATATTTTAAATTTTTAAAAAATGTTTTATTTATTTTTGAGCGAGAGAGATAGAGACAGCATGAGCAGGTGAGGGTCAGAGAGAGAGGAAGACACAGAATCTGAAGACAGGCTCCAGGCTTTGAGCTAGCTGTCAGGATAGAGGCCGATGCAGGGCTCAAACCCATGAACCATGAGATCACGACCTGAGCTGAAGTCGGACGGACGTTTAACCAAATGAGCCACCCAGGTGCCCCTAGACTTCCAAAAAACCCTCTGGAATACAACCTTGTTTATACGTCATTCCAAATTCCAAATTTATATGTCATTATCTTTGGATAATACAATAATTTGTATTAAAACACAAATATACACATTACATATTTTTATAAATATATTGAGAAATATATATAAATATCACATAATATGTATAAATAACAATAATCCAAGGAACTTGGGTGGCTTAGTCGATTGAGCATCTGACTTCAGCTTATGTCATGATCTCACCATTCATGAGTTTGAGCTCCACATCAGGCTCTCTGCTGTCAGCACAGAGCTCACTTCAGATCCTTTGTTTCCCTCTCTCTCTCTCTCTCTCTCTCTCTCTCTCTCTGCCCCTGCCCCACTTGTGCATGCACACACTCATGTGATTGCTCTCTCTCTCCCTCTCTCATGTGTGCTCTCTCAAACGAATCTCTCAAAAATAAACAAATATTTAAAAAAGAAACAAAACAATAATCCACTCACCTTTCCTCAAATTTCCCTCAGGTCACTAGTTTCAGGAAATATTACCTTTCTATGATTTTTCACCATCCCATCTTTAAAAAGTACTCTAAAACAATTTTATAGGAAAGACCTTTGAAGATCTCATCCCCTAATAAAGCAATGAAACACTGGCAAAAATGTCAAAATCCACTTTTTCCAAACACTGAGAATGAACAAAGGATTGCAACATCCCAAGAAGAATCTATTCCATAAAAATGGCTGACTTTCAGTAAAAACAGTAAACTTTGTGCTGTTTTAATTTATCTTATTCCCATCCTATTCTCTCCAGCTCCTCAGTAGCCTTGAAAACCAACATATGCATAACTATGGTAGTTGTGAAAAACATTAGCATAGTAGCCACTGAAAGGAGGCACAACAGTTTTGGAGCTCTCCAAGTCTCATCTCCAGAGAACTGTCTAAAAGTTGCCTATAAATCTCCACTCTCAGGCCTTAACTTGACTTTGCCTGACTCTGAGCTTGCTCTATGATGATAACCTTACCCTTAGGGCATTTGTTGAAAACAATCAGCAGCAATTATTTAACATCACAGATACCAAAGGCAGCAATACCAACTGGGGCTGTCTAACCAAAAATCTTGGAGAAGAAACAAAAAGACAAGATATGAGATGTCCATAGGAAGATTTGAAAAGCTCCCAAATGTTCCTTGGAATCTACTAGGCCAGTTTCATGTATAGGACCATATATATGCTTGGAAAAGACTTGAAAAGACCCTATTCTCTCATCAGTGGCTGACTATGAGACTCTTCTCAAGCAGGCTGCAAGGGCTAAGGCAGAGTTGTAAACTGCCTGCAGGAGCATTAGGCACATGTCCCACCATGGGTGCAGGCATACACACACACAATCTGTTGGAAAAGGCTGATAGACCTACTGGTTCTAAGAAATCTGTCCACTTATTGGGTTATCACTAATTTAACTGTGCAGACTTCAGTTAACTCCAGCACGTAATACAGGCTTTACAGAATTGGTCCAGGGATGCCACTAAACAAACAGCAGCAACAACAGCAACAAAAATAAAGAACAAAATCAAGAACCTCTTGTGAAAGGGGAAGAATCTGATTCCAGAAGTGCTAGGTTTTATCATTTAAAATGTCCAGCTTTCAGGGTGCCTGGGTGGCTTAGTCGGTTAAGCATCCGACTTCGGCTCAGGTCATGATCTCACAGTTCATGGGTTTGAGACCCATGTCAGGCTCTGTGCTGACAGCCAGCTCAGAGCCTGGAGCCTGCTTCAGATTCTGTAACTCCCTCTCTCTCTGACCCTCCCCTGCTCACGCTGTCTCTCTCTCTCAGAAATAAATAAAACATTTAAAAAATTTTAAAAATGTCCAGTTTTCAACAATGTTTATGAGACACACGAAGAAACAGGAAAGTATGCTTACACATGGCAGGAACAGGGTATAGGGGTGAAGAAATCTATAGAAACCATCCTTAAGGAAGGCCAGCTGTTGAAATTACTATATATATACTTTAAATCAGCTATTATAAATATGTTCAAGGAACTAAAGGAAATCATATCTAAAGAAATAAAGTATAAGAATAATGCCTCACTGGGGCGCCTGGGTGGCTTAGTCGGTTAAGCGCCGACTTTCGCTTAGGTCATGATCTCGCGGTTCATGGGTTCGAGCCCCGCGTCGGGCTCTGTGCTGACTGCCAGCTCAGAGCCTGGAGCCTGTTTCAGTCTGTGACTCCCTCTTCTCTCTCTGACCCTCCCCTGCTCACACTGTCTCTTTCTCTCCTAGAAATAAAAAAAAAAAAATAAAAAAAAAAAAAAGAATAATGCCTCACTGAATAGAGAATGTAAATAAAGAGATAGGTATTATAAAAAGTAAATAGAGATCCTGGAGTTAAAAAGTACAATGACTTAAGTGCAACATTTACTAGAAAGGCTCAAAAGCAGACTTGAAATGGCAGAAGAAATAACCACTTATCTGAAGAGACAGGTCTATTGAGATTATCTAGGCCACAGCACAAAGAAATAGAATAAAGAAAAATGAACAGAGTTACAGAGACCCATGGAACCATCAAACATACGAACATATGCATACTGGCAATCATATAAAAAGAAGACAGAAGCAGAAAAAATATTTGTAGAAATAATGGCCCAAAACTTCCCAAATTTGATGAAAAACATTTGCCTTCACATTCAAGAAGAAACTCAGTGAGCTCCAAGAAGGATAAATTCATAGAGACTGACTAGACACATCATCATCAAACTGTCAAAATCCAAAGACAAAGAGAGAATCTTAAAAGCAGCAGGCAAAAAGTGACTCATCACATACAAGGGATCCCAAGAACTGGATTTATCATTATAAACAATAGAGGCCAAATGGCAGTAGGAGGACATAATCAAAGAAAGAAAGAAAGAAAAAAGACTATCAACCAAGAATTCTATATGCAACAAAGCTATTATTTAAAACTGAAAGATTAATTAAGACATCACCATATAAGCAGAAATGGAAAATTCATCATTACCATATTTGCCCTAAAGAAATAATAAAGATAATGCTTCCGGCTGAAATAAAAGGGCACTAGACAGTAAAGCAAATCCATAAAAAAGCAAATAGCACCAGAAAGATAACTACATAGATAATGCATTTTTGTAATTCTTTTCTTACATCTGATTAAAATAGAACTGCATGAATATTATAAATCTGTTGATAGGCACACAACATATAAAGTTGCAATTTGTATGACAATAACAGTGCAGAGGAAGGAGTAGGAAATGAAGCCATTTATAAGAACAGTTTCATTATAATATTGGAATTCAATTGGTATTAATCCTAACTAGATTGTTATACATTAAGAAGATAATTATAATTCCTAGTGGAACTATTTAAGAAATAACTCAAATATATAGTAAAATAACGGCAACGGAGTTAAAATGGCATACTAGGAAATACAGAATACAAAATAAAGTAGAGGCACCTGGGTGGCTCAGTCAGTTAAGCGTCTGACTTCGGCTCAGGTCATGATCTCACGGTTTGTGGGTTCGAGCCCCACGTCGGGCTCTGTGCTGACAGCTAGCTCAGACTGGAGCCTGCTTCGGATTCTGTATCTCCCTCTCTCTCTGACCCTCACTCTCTCTCTCATGCTCTCTCTCTCAGAAATAAATAAAACATTAAAAAAATAAAATAAAATAAAGTATCCATGAAGAAATCAAGGAACAAAAGAGAAATAAGATACGTAGAAAACAGGGACGCCTCAGTGGCTCAGTCAGTTGAGTGCCTAACTTTGGCTCAGGTCATCATCTTGTAGTTCATGAGTTAAAACTCCACATCAGGCTTGTTGCTGTCAGCAGAGCCTGCTCTGGATCCTCTGTTCCCCCCAACCCCACTCCATGGTCCCTCTCCTCCTCCCCGGCTTGTGCTCTCTATCTCTAAAAAATAAAGACCAAAAAAAAGATACATAGAAAACAAGTAGCAAAATGGCAAACATTAATGCTACTTTATCAGTAATTATATTAAATGTAAGTGGATTAAATATTCCAAATAAAAGGCAGATATTGGCAAAATGGACTTGAAAGCATGATCCAACAACATACTATGTACAAGAGACACTTTAGATTCAAAGACACACAGAGGTTGTAAACAAAAGGATGGAAAAAATACCATGTAAACAATAACTTACAAAGAGCTGGAGTGGCTATACTAATATCAGGGAAAAAACCTTTAAGATAAAAATTGTTATTAGGGACAGAGAAGGTATTTTATAATGATAAACAGGTTACCCCATTGAGAACATATAGGGAGAAAAAAGGAGAAATAAACATGCCAACAATAATACTGAGGGATTCCAAGACCACTTTCTATAATGGATAGAACAAGTAAGGAGATGAACAAGAAAATAGAAGATGTGCACAACACTGTGAACCAAAGACATGACAGACATCTACGGAATGCTTCACTCAACAACTGCAGATCACACATTCTTCTCAGATACACATGGAACATTCTTAAGGACAGGCCATCTGTTAGATCATAAAACAAGCCTCAATAAACTCAAAAGTCTGAAATAATACAAAATGTGTCTCTAACCACAATGGGTAAATTTAGCAATCACTAACAGTAAACCATAAATTTGAAAATTCACAAGTATGTGGACATTAAACAACACAGTCTTAAAAAACCAATAGGTCAAAGAAGAAACAAAAAGGACGGGTGCCTGGGTGGCTCAGCTGGTTAAGGATCCGACTTCAGCTCAGGTCATGATTTCACAATTCATGAGTCCAAGTCTCACAGTGGGCTCCGTGCTGATACCCCAGAGCCTGTAGCCTGGTCAGATTCTGTGTCTCTCTCTCTCTCTCTGCCCCTCCCTTGCTCACACTCGGTCTCTCTTCAAAAATAAAAGAAACATTTAAAAAAAAGAACAAGAAGAAACACAAGAGAAACTAAAAAATACTTTTAGATGGATGAGAACAAAAGTACACGTACAAAAAATGATCAACTGAAGCTAAAGCATTGCCTAGAGGGAAACAGCAGTAAACACCTCTATTAAGAAAGAAAAATGATCTCAAATAAATAACTTTCAACCTTAAGAAACTAAAAAAATAGGAGAAACTAAACCAAAAGCAAACAGAAAGAAAGAAATCATAAAGATTAGTGAAAATAAATAATCTTTTCTTTAAAAAGTTCAACAAAATTAATAAATCTTTAGCTAGGTTGGCCAAGGATAAAAATAGAAGACTCAAACTCTTAAAATCAGAAAGTTTTTAAAAGATCTCTGTATCTCCAGATATACTAAAAAATAATAAAAATTAAGTAGAAAAATATTAAGGACAAAACTACCAACCTTACATTTATAAAAAGATTATAAAGTAATACTACGAACAATTGTATGCCAAAAAATTAGATAATCTATAATTAAGTAATTATTAACCACAAATAATGGAAACAAACTCAAGAAGAAATAGCACATCTAAATAGACATATAACCAATAAGGAGACTGAATTAGTAATTAAAAACTTTCCACATAGGAATGGCCAGGCACAAACGTCTTCACTGATGAATTCAACCAACTGTTTAGAGGAGAATCAACACCAATCTTTCCTAAACTCTTCCAAAATAGAGAAAAGGAGGAGTTACTTCTTGATTTAATTCATAAGGCCAATATTATACTGATCCCAAAACCAGAGATATCATGAGGGAAAAAAAAAAAACAATAAAACAAAACTACAGACCAACATCCATTCTGAGTATAGACATCAAGATACTAGCAAGCAGAATCCAGTAACATATAAAAAGGGTTATATGCCATTACAAAGTGAAATTTATCACAGGAACAGCAATGTTGATTTGCCTTACAAAAATCAGTCACTACAACACAATACACACCATAATAGTATAAAGAACAAAAACCACATGACCATCTCAATACATGCAGAAAAAATTCTTTGAAAATATCCAATGCCTTTCATAATAAAAACACTCAACAAATTAGAAATAGAAGAGAATGTCCCCAACTTGAAAAACAGCATCTATGGAAAACTCAAGAGCTCACATTATGTGTAATGGTGAAGGTCTGAAAGCTTTCACCCTAAAAGTCAAAAACAAGATGAGGATGTTCTCTCTCATCAGTTCTAGTCAACATTTTACTGGAAGTTCTTGCCAGGGTAATTAGGCAAGAAAAAGAAATAAAACTTATCCAAATTGGAAAAGAAGTAAAATAGAAGATAACATGATCTTGTATGTAAAAGATCCAAAGGAATACACACACACACAGTATAATTAATAAACAAGTTCAGCAAGTTCTCAGTGTACAAGATCAATTTACAAAATAAGTTTTATTTCTATACATTGGCAATAAGCAATTCAAAATGAATTAAAAAATTAACTCAATTTACAATAGCATAAAAATAGTCGGTTGAGTGTCCAACTCTTGGTTTCAGTTCAGGTCATGATCCTAGGCACAAGCCCCAAGTCAGGGCTCCATGCTGAGCGTGGGGTCTGCTTGAGATTCTCTGTCTCTCCCTCTCTACCTCTCTCTCCCCTACTCACACTCTCTCTCTAAAATTAAAATAATAGTAATAGTTTTTAAAAAATAATAGCATAAAAATCAAAATGCTTAAGAATAATTTTAACAAAAAAGTGTAAAGCACACTTTGAAAGTTGCAACACATTGTTGTTGAAACAAATTAAAGAAGATCTAAATATATGGAAAACATCCCATGTTCATGGATCAGAAGGTATAATATTGTTAAGATACCAAAATTTCCCAAATTGATCTACAATAGGGATTAGTGCAATCCCTACCAGAATCTCGATAAACTGACTGAAAAATTCAAATGTAATTGCAAGGTATCCAAAACAATCTTGAAAAAGAAGGACAAAGTGGGAGGACTCATGCTTCCTAACGTCAAAACAGTACAACGCAGCAGTAGTCAAGATAGTGCTAGCTTAAGGATAGACGTCTAGGTAAATGGAATAGAATTGCAAGTCCAAAAATTAATATTTTTATTTATGGTTAACTGATTTTCAACAAGAGCACCAAGGTCATTCACAGGAGAAGGAACACTTTCAATAAATGCTACTGGGACAACTGGATACCCAAATGCAAAAAAAACAGATGTTGGACTCCTATTCACACCATACACAAAAATTAACTCAGAGTGGATCACAGATCTAACTGTAAGAGCTATAACTATTTACAAATATTTAATAAGGACATTTATCCTGAATATATTTTTAAAACTCTTAAAAGTAAAGAAAAAGACAATTTCTAAATAATCTGAATAGACATTTCTCCAAAGATAATATACAAATGGCTAATTAGTACATGAAAAAAAAGGATTTCTCAAAACATCTGTCATTAGGGAAATTTATGTCAAACCTACAATAAGGTACCATGTAATACTCACTAGAATGGTTACAATCAAATAGACAATAACAAGAGGCGGTGAGGATATGGAAAACTGGAACTCTCATACATTGCTGGGAACGATGTAAAATGGTGTAGCTTCTTTAGAAAATTTGGAAGTTACTCAAAGTTAAACAGTTTACATATGACCAATCAATTTCTACTCCTACGTCTATACCCAAGAAATTTGGAAACATAAGTCCAAATAAAAAATGCATATGACTGTTAATAGAAGTATTGTTCATAATAGCTGAAAAGTGAAACAACCCAAATGTCTATCAATGGATGAATGGATAACCAAAATGTGGTATTTTGATACAATGGAATATTATTTGGTCATAAAAAAGAATGAAGTTCTGATACATGTCGCAACATGGATGAACCTTGAAAATATCAGGCTTTGATATTTGATAAATATATGGAAAACATCCCATGTTCATGCCAAATGAAAGAAGACAGACACAAAAGGCCACATTTTGTATGATTCCATTGATATGTACCAAACAGAGAATAGAGGGGATTCCATTGATATGATACGTATAGAATAGCTGAGGGAGGGTAAATGGGGAATGACTGCTAAAGGGCATAAGGTTTCTTTTAGGGTGGTGATATATTCTAAAATTAGATAGTAGTGATGGTTTGAACAATGATTAGTTTTAGTATATTAGTGGTAAATATACTAAACACTGAGTTGAGTGAATTTTCAATGAGTGAATTTTATGTTATGTAAATATCTCAATAAAGTCATTTTTTAAAAACAGGTTATAAAATGGGAATTGATAAATATAATCACATACATATATATTGATTCTACTAATTAAATGTCAAGACTAAAAATTTCATGAACTCCTATTCTTACTCAGTGGATCTTTAAAACTCTAGCAGTAGAAAAAAAGACCTACAGTGAATAAGAGGGAATGAATTCTTCTGCCCTGGAAGACAGAGACCCTGTATCTTTTCCAGGTAGAATATTCCCCACTGAAATATCTCTGTCATTAATCTCCTGACCCCTTATGGACCTGCTTCATGGTAAGTGTCGATTTTTCAGCAAGAAATGTAGTTCACGGAGAAGGTCATCTTTTCTTTGCAAATCTGACATAGTGACTTCCTGTCCTCCTCTCTACCATCAGAATAACTTTCAGTCCTGTAGTCCTTTAAAAAAAAAAAAGAGTCCCCTCCTTCATCATTCTATAGAACCTCCATGTTCCTTTGGTTACTTTCCAGATCAACATGCACTACTGCATTCTCACACCTACCCCAACCTCATTTTCCTGGCAGCAGTGATGAGTTCTGCCACTTAGTGGGATTGAATTAAGGCAAAGGCTATTAAAAATGTCATCAAAGGTGGAAGACATAGCTGACAAAACAGAAGTATGAGGGTCAGGGTGGTTTGTATGCTTCATAACAAAGGTAGACAAATAACTTTATAAAGGCGCAGGGAAAGATACAAGCCAAAAGGATATAAAGGGAAAATTAAAAATCTTCACTTTTGTCTCCTTGGTTTTGTTTTAGTTTGGGAAAGAGAGAGATTGAGTGCATGAGTGGGGGAGAGGGTGGAGGAGCGGAAGAGACACACAAAGAGAGAGAGAGAGAGGGAGAGAAATCTCAAGCAGGCTTCACGCTCACTACACAGCCTGACACAGGGTTAGATCCCACAACCCTGGGATGAAGACCTGAGACAAAATCAAGAGCCTGAGCCACCCCAGGCGCCCATCTCCTTGGTTTTATATTAAGTGTTTTTCAGCACAACCTTCTAAATCACATTGCCTAGATTGAACATAATACATTTTCAATTGCAACCTTTAGTTTTATATTCCAAACTTTGTCCTTCTAATTTCTACAAAATAGACTAATCAAATAGGCAAATGTTGACTCAGATATTTTTATATAGAACTTACCACTCTCTTTTCCCTGAAATCAATGCCCACTGTCGTGATAAATTTGGAGTTAAATTTGCCATCTGTGTACTGGTAAAGTACACTGGTCTTCCCTACTCCAGAGTCTCCCAATGCTAAAAACTTGATGAGGTAATCATAATCTCCATCAGACATAATGAATAACTCAGTGGTTCACCTGTAAAATACAAACAAATGCATATTTACTAACAAGCCATTAGGAAATATTAGAATCTTCCATGAAAAAAGTGAGTTACTTTAATATCCAGTTCAGTAAGTACTATGTGACACCTTTATGCCTAAGGATTCTATGAAGAGGATTAGTTATTACTGCCCTCAAGGACATAATAATTTGCTAGATGAGGTATTACTGAAATAATAAATAACAGTTTTATTTAAATCCAACATGCGTATTATAGTACTGACAAGATGAAAATTCCTAGTGAGAATGAAAATCAAGAGGGTAACCACCACTCAGTCTTTTTTTTTATTTTTAAAAAAATATTTATTTTTGAGAGCACGAGAGAGACAGACAGACAGAATATGAGCAGGGGAGGGGCAAGAGAGAGAGGGAGACATGGAATCTGAAAGGCAGGCTCCAGGTTCTGCTCAACCCCTGACATGGGGCTTGAACTTTTGCCGTTTGAACTCGAGCTGTGAGATCATGACCTGAGCTGAAGTCAGACACTTAACTGACTGAGCCACCCAGGTGCCCCCAACCAATCAGTCTTACATACAGATCATATAGAGCAAAAATTTTAGAACAAAAAATTTTAGAAAATTTTAGAACAAAAAAGAAAGGAGGAAGGAGAATGTTAATGAAATAATAATTCTTAAGAGTAAAAGTGATTCTAACCCCTTCTTCTTCTTCAAAGTCTTCTAGCCCTAGATCCTTGGTTTTTCTCCTTATGTGGACATCTAGGCAATTTCATTTATCCTATTAATTTTCAAATGTCACAATAGTTCCTTCAAAGACAACGCTTAATTCACAAGTAAAATTTGGCTTGCAGCTTCTTTTATTTTATTGTTATTATATACTGCATATATTCCAGATTTGGGCAGTCACTGTTCAGAGACCATAATACCATTACAAAGGGCTCACTTACCCTTACTTGCCTTGGTATTTGAATGAGAAATGCTACCAATTCAGGTCTTCAACATTAACTAAAACAAAAGTCCACTTTATGGAAGAAAAATTCTGTTTTTACCAGCAAGACCTAAATATGGTTATTTTTATCCTTTGCAATCAGCAAAGGATTTGTTTTTATTCTCTAAATAGATTCAAACTACTCAAAATATCAGTCCAACTGAAAATGTAGTCTGTTTCCAGGGAGAGCTTACTTCTTTTTATCTTCTCATTTGTAATAGCAATAAACCCTTTTGAAAATCAGAAAAATAATCAGCAATACCATTACCACTGGCCACCCTATCTGCCCATTCAAACATGCATGTTTACCCATATACACACACACATCAGATGCCCTACATTAGATGCTGATGATTTTCTTCTCATTATCCACTTTCACCCAGCCTTACATCGAGAAACTTTACCACAGTTCTCAATGCTTCCTATAGAATTATTTCTATAGATCTAAAAAATTAATAAAGCTTAAGCAAGGACATTTATTGATTTTCAAGTTTGCCTCCACTATCCTCAATTTGATGACTCACCTTATGGTCAAAAATCTTGAGTGCTGACCCCCAAGAGGCACTGCAGTTTATTTTCTCATCATGCCTTAGTGAAGATCTGTAGCCTCACATTCAGATATGGCTGGTCAGCTGCTAAGGGCAGAGCCTCCACAAACATTCATAATTCTATTTGCACACTATAAAGAATTACACTTCACAGATGACGGCTTTCCTATGTTATAGCTTCAGAATGCACAGGTTGGTTGCCAGTATTAATGGTACATAATAGAATTCCTCTCTGGAAGATGACCAATAGGGTACAAATACTCTAGTATATTATATTACAGCATCTCATTTGGTTCCCAGTGATTCATTAATAAGAGCTAAGAATTGTAGAGCAGGTTCAGCTAGTGTTTAATCATTTTGGAAGTTCCCCCTCAAAATGAATGAGGGAGCAGAGAGCAACTCAGAAGTCTGCAATGATAATAACTATCTTATTTATTTTTTAATTTGAAAGAGGCTGGTCATTTCTATATCTATGTTTTTACATCATTTAAGGTACAGAAAAAAATGTTGTCATCAATGGCATCACTCTTCTATAAATCTCTAAATCCACTTGAATGGAACTCAAAGACAGATGAAACTATCTATGCTGCACCAAAATTTTATGTGTTTGGTTATCATGGGAGAACAATCACACAGAGAAATCTATAAATGCTCTTTGTGGGTTTTGTTTTCTATTCATGTTGGCAGCAATACATAACAGTTTGTTCGCAAACTCAGCCATCATAAAGGAAGGTATTAACAAACCAAATACCACAACTGAAGGTATAATTGATCATAGTTTACACTCTTCAGATCATGCCTCTAGGCAATTATTTTCAGATTAACAAGGCAGATAAAGGTCCAGATTTTACACTCTCTGCGTTGAGTTTTCAAAAGGATGAAAAATAGAACCCAGAGAAGTTAATTCATTTGCACAGTCTAGAATATACATCTCCTAACTCCAAGTCCAATGTGCACTCTATCTCCAAGCTTATTGTCTGTTCCTCAAGTTTCTACAAATGCATCTTGGGGCTTAAAAGTGACCAGGTATGATATTGTACAGGTAGCCTAATAGGAAACACATGACCTCTGAAGTCCAGCAGAGCTCCATGTCTCCCACATGTCAGCTACTGAAACGTCTCTGAGCCTTGGATTCAAGTTTCTATTCTAGGAAAAAGAAGATAATATACACTCCTTCACGCTATTGTTCTAAGAATTGAATGAGATGCTCTTTGTGGAGCACCCAGAACAGTGTTTAGCATATACTGGGTACACAGTAAAGGTTAGCTCACTCTCTTCACCCCATTCTGGACAAATCAGACTGGCTCTGAAGACCAAGAACAATCTCTGAAATTGCCTCTGATCAGCTCAGAACATATTTGTAGCACAAAGGATTTCTGACTAACTCAGAGTCATTCTCTGAGTCAACATAGATCACCTTTAAACTAATTGAACTTTTCTGGCTGGTTTAAAACATTTTTAACCCATTTTAAATTGACATGTCTATTGCAGAAATGTTATGACCAGCTTAAAAACAGGTTCAAATCTGTATCAGACACTGCAATCCATTCTAATAAGCTAATACTGTCCAAAAACATCTGAAAGGTTCATTCTAGTTCAGAATGAAAGAGTTGAGTTCAGAGTTTCCACCTATAAAACTATTTTTACTGACCTAAAGCTACTTTGGCTAAAAGTAGATATATCTAGTGAAAATTACTTGGGTCTGGTTTGCATAGCTCTAACTTCTTCAAACTAGTTTTGCCTAGCTCAAGTAAGTTCTGACCTGGACAAGGATGTTCTGACTGGTTAACGTTAGGTTGGATTGGTTCAGAGTATATTTAACTGAGTCAAGTTAGTACTAATGAGTTAAATCTCTCCAACGAGGCCGTGCTGGCTCTAATTTTATCAAACTGCTTGTAAATTAGTTCATGGCATCTATAAAATGGTTTTTATGGTCTTAGATGGATTAAAAATTGGTTCAAACCAGTCCAAGTGTACAGATCAGATGTTCAAACAGTTCAAGGCTAGAAATGTAATATAATAAACAAAAGCTAAAAAGCAATGGTTTGCTGCTTTAAACATATGCGGAACTGACAAACTTAAATTTTTACTTATAATTACCTCAGTTGTATGTGTTGGAGAGTAATAATCAGGTTGGGAGAAAGGAGCACGGCACACTGGCAGAGAATATGATAAACAATAGGAAAAGGTATGATGAGTGACAGAGGCTTCCTTGGTTAAGAACTCACCTTTCATTTTATCTCAGGAACCTGGCAGTGAAACAGTAATCCATGATCCAACAATAAAATAGAGGTATCAAATCGGGGAAAACGTTTAGCAAATTTGGAGGTCATGTAAAGTGTGCCCTAAATTGATCACAATGACTAGGCTAGTCTGGGTTAACAGAGACCAGAATTCTTAAAAGTAGGAAGCTGCAAGGAAATAAAAGGACTAATGAAGGAGGCAGGCCTTCAAATTGATAACAGAGATTTTTCAGGGTTTGGGCAGGGTATTGATATTAACAAGATTCTTATCTGACTTTGTAGTCATTTAGTCGAAGTCTAGAATTAATGGAACCATTCCATCTTCCAAAAGAAGATAATTCTAGTGCTTAGCAAACTACAACCCCAAACCCATCCTGCAGTCCCTTATGTGTGTTTCACCACTGCTTATTACCACCAGATGAAGAAAACTTAACACTAAGTTTCAGCTGAAAACACACAGGACAGAATTTGACATTTGGGACACCCAAACATTTTGTGCATACTATTTGCAGTCAGTATTCCAAGCTATTGATGTTTCAGAAGCCAGTTCATGAAAGCTCTTTCCAATTGCACTGCTCTTGCTAAAAATGGGTTAGAAGCCCACACACTAAGTATTTTACAATCTTTATCACAGCCCTAAAGGCAAGGGCTACACACTGCACACACTTCCCTCTCCAAAGGATCTCAGTGCTCTTCTGTCATGGATGCCCCAAAGAGAAGATGAGTAAGTAGGCCTTAGGCAGTCTAGCCTATCCAACATGGGCTCAATTCCAGCATGTTGTTGACAGACAGGAAAAAGTTGAGGTTAAGAGCATGGACTCTAGAACCAAGTCACCTGGGTGTGAATCCAGTCATTTCACTTTAGAAAATTTAACCCCTTTTGCCTCAGGCTGCACTGTTTTAAAATTAGGAATGATTTTTTAAAATTAATTTTTATTTTGTTAATTCTATCATGCATATGCTTATTTCCATTTCTTTATAATTGAGGTGCATCTTACATTTCAAAGTCTTACAACCCATGACACCTTGCAATTGTTACTAAGTGAGGTGGCACTGAAGATAATTGTGTGAAAACCTTTCTTGAGCATCTTCTAGCAAGAGCACAGATGCACCATCAACACATTTTAGATTTGATGAAGCAGTAAACCTATCTCAGAGGGTTATTGTGAAGACTGAGTTAATGTATACATGAAGAGTTTAGAACAGAGTCTGGCAGAGAGTAAATCCAGTATAGTATTAA